TCATTGTTTCGCTCACATTTTGTCTTTAGCCAATCAGGTAAAGTTCATTTCTTCCGTGTCTGGTGAACAAATTGTCCCGTTTGTAGCACGACATCAAAATTTTTTTTTATTCCGATTTGGGTTGAATTATCAGTTACGTCAGCTGTTTCCCAAACAAATTTTTGGACGCGCTCCCCCTTCCGCAATCCCAATCCCCCACAGAAACGCACGTTTAATCATGCTCCAAATGACGAGAACACACACGTATATATATATTGCCTGCGTTATTTTTTTTAAATAAAATGTCATCTTCTTATCTTAAATTTTACAAAAGGAAATGTTTATTTACACGTCTTTTTGACTGGAAAAAACTCCAAATCGCGTCACATTTTTTATCTCGTGCACCCCCTAGTGGCAGCTCGCACACGTACAACACTTCGGGGAAGTCCCGATTCACAACAGTACACAACAGTACATTAATTAGCATTGATTAGCCTAGAACGGTGAAAGCTGGGATGGGCATGTCGCCTCGAATCAGAAAAAATACGCAAAATCGTAACACTGATTATAACACTGTTATTTTGATGCTGTTTTCAGAAGACTTCAATTTTTTTTTTTTTTTTTTATTTTCTTTATTTCAACCATTCTTTAACCAGGGAATTCCCATTGAAGTCACAGATGTCATTTCAAGGGCGCTCTGCCTGGGTAAGAATTCAACTAAAGACAATGATTAAAAAAAAAAAAAAAAAAAATTTTGTCAAGACCCAGCTTTATTTTTTATTATTAAATAAACACATAAACCTGCAGCGGATTGAGAAAATGATACATTTTTATAATATTGTTTATTTTGATTTACATATCCACACGGGCCAACAACTACAGTGTATTGCCGGCAAATGAAGAAATATAAACGGATATACTCAGGAAGACCAGAGAATACTGTGCCTAATTACGGTGGCTGAGGATACATCCATGATGCACCTTGGCCAGGAAATCAAACAATCAATAAAGTAAATGCACTAATAAACAAGGCTGCTCTCTGCGTCTCATCGTCTCATCCGCAACCTAATGACGCTAATAAGGTCTTACCCAGAAACTATTCATCCTAATTACGTGCTAAACGCCAACAAGGAAAAAGAGACAACAGAGAATTACAGCCATTATTAGGCGGGAAGTGGGGGGGGGGGGGGGGTGTGGGGGGGGGGTTGTCTCTGCGCAGGCAGGAAAAGGGACAGTGTAGTATCTGCTACTGACGCCCATTAGCTTTCCTAAGGATGATAGGGAGTGGGCGGGGAGAAAAAAAAAAGAGGGTGATGATGAAAGACAGTTTCAGGAAGTGATGGGTTTTTGGCCTTATCAGTGTGGACCACGGGGACTGGGCAGAATCCGACCCGGTTTTAAGAGTCGACTCCCACGTTCACGTACATGGAGTTCAAGTAAATAGCATTGTTTTTGTATTTATCATGACAAACGATATCGTCAAAACTTTTTTCTGGGGACCCATATTTTAAAAGTCACAAACCTTCGCGACCCAAGTCAACAGACGTTATTCGTAAACTCCTGGGACACATGTAGGAGACGACCCAGAAAAAACTGGGTCGCGACCCAGTGTTTGGGAAACAATGGTCTAAACAGCTATGTCACGATGCCCGGTCGTCGTACACACAATGATGAATCGTGTAACAAGAAAGAGAAAGGCTCTCAATATATATAAGCAACAAGCTAGCTAGCGATAAGCTAATTAGGGAAAAGCTAAAAAGGGAAAAAAAAAACATTATTAAGTTATTAAGAAAGTATTTCCTACATTTATTCACTATTCAATTATTATTCGTTTACCATAGGAAAATTACTAACAAACATGCGCCAGCTAGCTAACATGCTAGCTTGAGGAGCGGAGCAGATTGATAACAGGTCTACACAGATTAGGGCGTCGTCATGCCGCAAGTTGTATCTGTCACACGAGGTGCGTTCAGGTACCGTCAGAAACATGAAAATCCCCCCAAAAAAAATTAGTTTTGTTTTTATTTTATGACGAATTTTCTTGAGGTCTCCCTATTGCCCCCTGGTGGCCCCCTAGCTTTTCTTTAATCTCTGACACATCTTGACCTTCTAGGTCGTTAGTTGGCCCCAAGGTGTCCACGTGTCAAATGTTCTTGATTAGTGGCATGTGCACAGTGAGCGGACGATTTTCAGCGTTTATGTTTGTCCGCGTCACTTACTTTTATCACATAAGCACTTCCTATGTGCCCAGAGTCTTCGTGGAATCCCGCAGGACCTCAGTATTCAGTATTATCAGAGGGAAGCAGCATAGCAGAGCACGAACTGTGCGAAAAGACTGAGGCATACAGCTAAAGAAATTGCAAAGAGGAACCGAATCTCTCGCAGGGGAGCGGCACGATGCGGCTACACGAACTGCCGACAGCTCTATCGTCACGTTCTGTCATTGTTCTAATACTTCTGCTCATTCTCTTAAACCAAAGCCAAATCTGAATCCTTGAAAAAAGCGCTAATTGAAAAAAAAAAACAAAAAAAAAAACCACCATCAAAGTTTAGCCCCCAGATGTTGAAAATCCGAGTTCGGATTCAGTTCGTTTCCAGCGTCTGCCATTCAAATCAAGTGTTAGCATAGCGGTGTAGTGAAGTCCGACAGACGGCTTTCTCTGTCTCCCGTCTTATCTGTGCGTGTGTCTCCGACCTCCGCGATGATCCGTCACAACCACCTGCCGTGGACGTACGGTAATTGCGATCCCATAAACCGAGCCAGACAGTTTTATTGACATTCGGCCGAAATGTTATTACGTAATAATTGATAAACGCGCCGATATGTCCCATTTCGTGTTCCCTTCGATGACGTCTCATTGATCTGTTACATTTTGGCCAGTCGCTAGGCCAAGGAAGATTTTATTAAAAATGAAAAAGAAAATTAATGTAGTACACCGAGACATTGTTGATCGCGCGCTAGCGTGCACCAGTCGCCCAAACACATAAACCACAACAGTAGCCCGTACGAGAACAGCGCGTGGAGAATTCCACCTCCCACGCGTGCACTTCAGCTCCCAAAACCAACCATCTGGAATACGAAGCGAAAGAAATACAGCTTTCCGAGCAGCCATCTCGCTGCTGCGCTTTTCATGCCAGTCCTGTCGGGCCCGCGTGTTCACGGTAAGTGTCAAATATCTAAGTCACCGTTCCATGGCAACAGGCTTCAAGCCTCTTTATGGTCCCGGTGTGTATTGTGAAGCTTAATGAAATCCTGTTTTTGTTCACCCGTAGATCAACACAATAAAACGCAGCCAGAGTTTGTCTTTTCTCTGCTCAGAGCATCTTGGGTATCTATAAATGATGTAAGAGTGAATCAAGGGCTGTGCAAAAAAAAAAAAAAAGAAAAAAAAGAAAATGAATTTAGGATTTGAGAGCTGTTTCTCGTCTGCTCAGTCAGGTGCTGTGGGGAATTATTTAAATTGATCCACAGGGATACACGATATTATTGGTTGCTAATAGATTACCAGTAATTGATGTATCTGCTGAAATAATGTTAGCTAGGTTTCCACAATGAGCTGATCAAACGAATCGCAAACGAGCTAAAGACTAAGCTAACTGCGGCTAACACACGCGCGTCTTTGCGCATTTGCGATTTGTGCTACGCCAAAATTCTCAAAGGAGGGACAATGTTAGCTAGCGTCAACACAACAAATTGGGTTGTGAATGGGCGTGAAGCAGCTGTAGCCGTTGCAGCAGCTAGCAGCTAGCACGGAGGCTAAAAGCAAGAAACACAGCATGGATGTTTTCGTTCTACGAGCTTTTAAAAAAAAAGGCAAAGATTCCTGACAGAAACATTAAAAATGTGTCGGCCAAACCGGCCTTTTCCTACGACTTTGCCCAAAAATATGACATTTTTGGAAAAGTGTTGCGTTCGTGCAAAGTGCATTAGACAATTCTTCATATTTAATGAAATATAATTTTACAAAACATTTCCTGAATATGAAGTGTTTGTGTATATTATTATTTAAAAAATGCATCAAACAGGCCAGATTGAAACCACAAAGCGGGCAGGTTTTGGGCCACGGGCCGCATGTTTAACACCTCATATGTATATTCATATTCAGGTCATCATCATAATCACACAGGAAACCAAAAAAAAAACCCAGAAAAAAAAACAATAAGATGACCTTAACCACTGGCTAGCCCTGTACTAATCATGTGACGACATGTGGGTGACATGTCCCAATCTAAGAGATCAGGTGATTTCCATGTCATGTTGGAGGTTTTGTCAGCTGCACAGAGAGGAAATGGGTGGAGGATGGATAACAGACCGCTGACCGGGCCAAACATGACACCCTTTCAGGCTGAGAGCATGTCTGGGTTATTCATGAAATGCTCCAGATGATGGTCGACATAAACACAGTCAAGATTCAAGAAGCTGGTCGTACTGTGGTTAAAACAAAAACAAAAAAAAAAACAAAAAAAAGTCCTGGTCGTTACAACCCCCGCATGACAATTACTTAAAACCCAGTGACGTCGTTGATGGCGGTGGAGACTGTGTTTCCACTCACTTTTTCCAATGTCATTCCTGACTCTGCATATCCTGTTAGCTGCTCGATGACACCCTCTCGCTCACTTCTCTCACATTTCCACTATGAGACTTTTTGCCTGACTGGGCAGCTCTGTGGGTTTTTTTTTTTTTTTTCCGTAAGTTGTTCTGGCTCTAACTTCCACTTAGGGAAGTAGCTAATTGTCCTGAATTAACACCTCGAGTTCAGTTCACTCAGTGTCACCTCCGACGTTTAGACGCCCTGATTCCTAGTAATAAGAACTAACGTCCATGTGACAACAGTTAGTTGGAATTGTGTCACCTCAGTTACAACGTTATGACATCGCTATATGACAACGCTAAGAGAGATGGGACTGAGATGTTG